CCTGCATGTTCGCGATTTCATACGCTCCCGGCCGGACCACCTCTATGACCTTGTACGGTCCTTCCCAGTTTGCTCCCTGCTTCCCAGTGTTTCGTTCCGCGGTGTTTTGGAAGACTTTCCGTAGGATTAGTTTGCCTACTTGAAATCTACGGCCTCGTACGTTCGAGTTGTAGTACTTTTCTGCCGCTTGTTGGTAATTCTGAATTATGACGAGAGCCTGATCCCGTCGTTCGTTAATCAGGTCGAGTTCGTTGAGCAGCATCAGGTTGTTCGACTCTTCTCTTTCCGGGAGAAGTGGCCTGCGTACTCACGGGAATTCGACTTTCGCGAGGATCATACACTCTGCTCCGTACACGAGGGCAAATGGGGTTTCGCCCGTTGCTCGTCTCGGGGTCGTGCGGTGTGACCATAAAACTCCTTCAAGCTCTTCTGCCCACTTGCCTTTTATAGCGTCAAGGCGTTTATTGAGGCCGTCGAGGATGGTTTTTTTAATGGTCTCGGCTTGTCTGTTGCCTTGAGGATACCTTGGAGTTGATTTCATTAATCGTATTTTCCATTTCTCGCAGAAGGCTTCGAATCTAGTCGAAATAAACTTAGACCCGTTATACGTCACGATTTTGTAAGGGACTCCATGCGTGCAAACAATATTTTTCCATACAAAATTTTCTACTTGGGTATTTTTGATGCTTGCGTAAGAATCGGCTTCAACCCATTTGGAGAAAAAGTCGGTCAGGACTAACAAGAAGCGTTTTTGTTTCGATGCGTGGATCAGCCCGACTATATCCATTGACCATCGCATGAATGGATATGGCGCTAAGATGGATGAGAGGACTTCTGCTGGCTGATGGATAGTCGGGGCGTGCCGTTGGCACTTTTCGCATTTTCGTGAGAAATCCTCGCAATCTTTTACCATTGTCGGCCAGAAATATCCATGACGCTTGATTTTTATTGCTAGAGATCTCCCACCGGAATGATTCCCGCAGAATCCGGAATGAACTTCTTCCATTACTCGCTGCGCCTTTTCTCCGTGCACGCATGTCATGAGTGGTCCGGAAAATCTCCACTTATAGAGTTCTCCGTCGACCAGAACATATCTTGCGGCTTGAGTCTTTATTTTTTAGGCCGCCCATTTTTCCGATGGGAGTTCCCTGTTGGCTATGTAAGCGAGGATAGTTTCCATCCACTGACGACTGAACCCGTAGTTAGATTGATCTGCGGCTGGGCGATCATAGTTTTCGTTGATGTCGTCTTCTGGTTCATCGATTAGGTTTACGACTATGGGCGGTCCGATGCTAGGATGTTCAATGAGCTTCACAGGGATTACCCTGCTCAGACCGGGGTCCAAGCTGGATGCCAAGGCTGCCAGAGCATCTGCTTGGGCGTTTTCCGACCAGGGAATTCGAGTGAGGGCGAATTGATCAAAGTTTCGAGCTAGATCATGAACCAGGGTCAGATATGCTTCCATTCTTTCGTCTCTTGCTTCGTATTCCCCGCTGAACTAGCTGGCCACTAGCTGAGAATCGCAGTAGGCATGGAGGTTGCGTATCTTTAGACCATGAGCTAGCCGTAATCATGTGATTATGGCTTCGTATTCAGCTTCGTTGTTCGAGACGTGGAAAACTAGTCGAAACGATGGCTCTAGCAATTCTCTAGTTGGAGCCGCCGGATGCCGATTCCGGAACCTTGTTTGGATGAAGATCCGTCAACGTATAGGGTCCAGGTCGAGTTTGACTTCTGGTTGGGCGTGCCTCCTGTCGAGAGCTCTACTAAGAAGTCTGCGAGTACTTGTGATTTTGCGCAGTGTTTTGCGCGGTATTCGATGTCGTACTAGCTTAGCTCGATTATCCATTTTGCCAACCTTCCCGACTGGCTGGGGATGTGCAAAATTGTGCGGAGAAGGAAAGAAGTGGGTACCACAACGGTGTGAGATTGGAAATATGGTCTTAGTTTTCTTGCCGACGTTACTACCGTTAATGTCAATTTTTCCATCATCGGGTATTGCGTTTCTACGTCTAGCAAAGTTTTACTTACGTAAAAGATCGTTTTTTTCTCGCCGCATTCTTCCCGAATGAGGACGCCACTTACGGCCGTTATTGACAATATGATGTAGAGAAATAGCGGTTCCCCTTCCACTGGTTTTGCGGTACTGGCCAGGTAGCTAGGTAATGCTTTAGCTGTTGGAAAGCTTTGTCGCATTTCTCCGTCCACTCGAACTTTTTGTTTCCCTTCCAAGTATCGTAGAAAGGAAGAAATTTATCCGTTGATCGCGAGATGAAACTGTTAAGTGCTGCGACTCTACCGGTTAGTCTCTGTGCCTCGAGCTTTGTCCTGGGGGACACCATTTCTATTAGCGTTGTCGATGGCAGACGATTTCTTTTTCTATTTGGAGGGAGCGCCAGCCGAAGGACCTTTTCGTTTTAAATCCGCGGCATAGCAGGCCTGCGAGATTTTCTGATTTCCCAGATGGTCTTGATTCCGCGCGGGGTTGGGAACTTGAGACACATATAGTTCGTCAATGGTACCGCTTGCATCGAGTTTAGCCACGGTGTTCCTACGATTGCGTTGTAGGACGTGGGTCGATCGATGACTAGGAATTCGACGATTTTCGTCATGCTTCCGGCTTAAACAATGAGGTTAACTGTGCTGAGAGTCATGGTGATTTCACCCGAGAGTCCTCCTAGCGGGCTTTAGTTTTCCGCGATTTTGGATGGATCGATTTACATTCTCTCGAGGGTATTTTTGAAGATGATATCAGCCGAGCTTCCGGTATCGACTAATATCCTTGCGATATCTATATTCTCGATTGTCAGATCGATGACAAGGAGGTCGTTAAAATGTTTGGTCGAGTCGACCGTTGCTCTGTCCTTGATCGAGATGACATCACCGTTCGAGTTAGGCATATCGTTTTTCGTTCGTTCAGCGGTTATTGTGTACGAGAATCCGAACTCCCCCCCCCCCCTCTTTCTAGTGTCAAACTGAGGGAGCCGAAATTCACACTGTCAATTTTCCGTCAAAAAAAGAAACTTAGGGAAAACCCTAATTTTCCCGAGGTCCTCGATCTCTGCGGAAACACACTTAAAACGAAAAAGGATAATAGAATACAGATGAAGAAATTGCGAAAAGACTATTATTGATAAAGAGATTGAGAAACTGTTACAAAGAGAATCGCGAAACTTAAACGACAAAACGTTCTAAGGATCTGACTTGCTAGTCTAGCCACCTAAGTCCTAAATTCGCCTAAGCTAACAACCGTTTTTCTAGGTCTCAAAAGCTCTGCCTCCTCTTGACTTCTACCTCATGCTTATATAGGCGGTTTGTCTTTCCTTTTCTGCTGCGATTCGCGCTCATTGGGAATCTTCCATTTTTATCGATCTTTCTATTTTCTTTGGAAAACTTCTATTTATCTTCAATCTTGACATTTATCCACTCTTGTGGATAATAGGCAAGCCGTCATTGTATCTTTGGGTTGGACCTCATTCAAAGTCACGAGTGGACCTTTATCGCGTTTTAGGACCTTTCAGACCGTTTTACGATTTAGCCATTTTGCGACTTTAGACGAGATCGTTTCCTGATACGATGCCTTTTTAAGTAAACATCTCGAATTAATAATATGGTTTGGCAATGTTCGGTGTTTCGTTGAACCGTTTCCGTTTTATACAATTTACTCGAGGTTTTACGAGAAAACGCGTCTATAGTGACTTTTTATATAAGATCTTGAATTAATAGCATAATTTGGCAACAATTGGTGTTTCGTTTAACCGTTGCCATTTTATACGATTTACTCGAGGTTTTACGAGAAAACGCGTCTTTTTCGGTTTTTAATAAAAACATCTCGACTTAATCGTATAGTTTGACAATCTTCGGTGTTTCGTTTAACCCTCGTCGTTTTATACGATTTACTCGAGGTTTTACGAAAAACACGCATTTTACGGTTTTTATCGTAAAACTCAAACGGTAAGGCGGATTGAGACGAAATGAAAGACGTTCCGCCGATCACGGTTCAGAGTACCCCAATAAGAGATGATAGGTATTTGTTGAGAAATGAACCTTCAAATGTAGAGGGTCCATTGTGTGAGTGACTGGTGGTGATTAATTTGTTGCTTGTGACACTATAGAATCCAAGATCTACAGTTGAAGTTGAACGAAGCTTGACAGGGTTTGGAAACCAGCTATAGAGGAATAAATCTTATTTTTATAGATATGGCTAATGTTACTGCAATAACTTAAGGAATAGTGGAAATGTGGAATACACGATCCTGTTTAACAAATCCCGAAATTAGTCGGTCCCATGACACAAGAATGATGATTTTTTTCATATAGTCATTTATATATTAGGGTCAAACATTTTTGCAATGATTTTAGGAAACATTACATGACAGAACCAAAAGTAATAGTACTACATGAACTAAATTGTGTTTATCTTATTTTATTTTAACTAAAATTAATTGTGTTTGTTAGGAATAAAAAAAGAGTAAAAACATTCCACGCGTTTATCTCTTAATATTTGTTTATGTCACCTAATAATAACATTTTTAATATATATAAATATCTTACACCCTACTAATCCCTTCTTAATTATTGTAATAATAAAAAACGAGATCGATAGTAAACGGAAATTTAAAATGTTTTTATGATTGTTTATATGGTTTAAGCTCTTTAAATGATAACTTTTCAGGATCTGTTTTCACTTTAATGCATGTGGGTCACGCAGTAAGAGATGAAGAAGAGGAGCATCGAAGAGAAGGCAAAGACCGTACCATTCTACAAACTGTTTTCTTTCTCAGATTCTACCGATGTGTTGCTGATGATCAGGGGCATAGGCCAAAGAACCGGCCGCTTAGGGCATCCCGATTGTGTAAAACAATTTTATAAGTATATAGGACACTATAAAAAAAATTATGAAGAATAAGGGCATAAATTTGTAGTTTAGAGTAGGGCATTACAATTTTTTTTTTAAAGTTGGACCGGCCCTGCTGATGATTGTTGGTTCCGTCGGAGCTATGGGAAACGGTCTTGGTTTTCCCCTAATGTCAGTATTGTTTGGTGATCTTATTGATACGGTTGGTCGAAACCTGTTCACAAACGACATTGTTGAGTTAATCTCCAAGGTTAGATCCAAATGAAACAATATTTAAACCTTTTTATTTGGTTATGTTTACTTTGTTGAGTTGGTTTTCTTCGTTTTAGATTTGTTTGAAATTTGTCTATCTTGGACTTGGGACATTTGCAGCAGCCTTTCTTCGTAAGTAACTCTAGGTTAAATGTCGTTAAAAAGTACAAAATAATAGATCATACTATTATTAATTTATGAAAAATATAACAAAACGCATTTACAATAAAAGAGTATATATATATATATATTGTTTCTTGGTAAGGAAGAAAACAATTTCGTTTTTTTTTCCGGTTCTAGAGGTGGCTTGTTGGGTGAGTACGGGAGAAAGACAAGCTGCAAGGATAAGGAGTTTATATTTGAAGACAATTCTAAGACAAGACATTGTATTCTTCGATGTTGAAACAAACACAGGAGAAGTCATTGGTAGAATGTCAGGTGATACTGTCCTTATACTGGATGCTATGAGTGAGAAGGTAAATATAAGGAGATCAATACTAATATTAAAAATATGTATAGAAAACATATATATAAGTCCTAATCTATATGTCAAATTCTATGTCTCTTTATCGTTATTCAAGTAGTCGAATATACTTGTAGGCACGTTAATGAATAAAAACATACAATTTAGGTCTTTCTCTTTAGTTATTTTCTGTTTCAAAATGGTATCAGAGCCATTTTTTGAAAAGATAAGTGTTTTAATCTTTATTTCATTTTGAAGTCGGACGAAAATGATCAAACTTCGTTTTCAGTAAAGACAACATAACAGATTAATTAGAAATAAGAAGTCATACACTACTTAAAACACTCCGGCCCAGAAATATTTTTAAAATACATTAAAAATTCTAAATATATATTTGACAAATTTTCAAAAAAAAAATACAAAAAAAAAACTACAATTTTGTTAACAAAATCCGATATCAAATACTTCAAATTCACACTGTTACAATTAGAAGGTTTGATCAAATCTCTTAAAACAAAACTCCAACTTACAACACACGTTTCTAATTGTATTTATAATCTCGCACTCCAGTCCACACAATCAAACATTACTTACATCACATAAAGAAACATGAGCATACAAAAGTATTCAGTGATAATGCTCAAAACCGCCTACATGCAACTCAAAACATCTAGCAACCTAACTTTTCATTCCATTCTAACAACCTAGTGTTTCATTCCATATTATCAATCTAGCATTTCATTTCATTCTATCATCCTAACCTTCCATTCCATCCTATTAACCTAGCATTACATTTCATTCTAGCATCTTTACATTCCATTATATTCTAGCATTCTAAAATTTCATTTCATTCTAGTAACGTAACATTATATTTCAATATATCAACCTCGCATTTCATTTCGTTCTAGCAATCTAACATTTCATTTTGTTCTGTCATCCTAACATTCCATTTCCTCCTTATAGTTAACCATTTTTGCTGAACTCCCATTTATTTTTACATATAGATCTTATGCTTTTTCATCCCGTTATCCATTATACCCATCCTCGACTCCGAAAGTCACTTACGGCCTGAACCCAAACATACTCGGTCCATAGCCATCATACTCTACTCGTCGATCATTCATACGGCATGAAGCCACTCAACTCCGTAAGTCCATCACGGCCGAAGCCAACTTATGGCCTGAAGCCAAAACAATCATATCATTCATTCATTTTTAGATCAAATCCTAAGTTTTCACATAGACATTCCCATTCATTTTTACTACCAATACCCACATTCTAGCTTGCCATACCATATGAATGCGAAGGATGTTCTTTGATTATTGAAGATTACTTCGAAGAACGATGAACGAACTTTCCATAAAACACATCAGTCATTCATAAATCCTAGCATATTCAGATCTAATTCACTAATATCTATGCTATCGAGTTGCCACAAATCACATCCTCACCTTGGCTGAATCTCTAGGATTCGAAGACTCTGAACTTCCTTGCATTTTCGAGCGAAAAACTCTTTAGCTTCTCTCCTTCGATCCCTCTTCTCGAAATTCTCTCTCTACCAGCTCGTTCATGCTCTAACTTCTCTCTAAATTATTTTTCTTGGTTGTTTCAAAAAGAGAGCTTAAGGAGTCTTTATATAGGATTTTTCAAACTTTCTCACCAAGCTGGACACTTAATGCAATTTTTTTCTTATTTGGTTTGGTCAAAAATCACCATCATTGTCTTGAATTGAATTAATTTAAGATTATTTCTTTATATGAGTCCAACAGATTCGATCTTACTTTTGTATAATCCCATAATGTTAACTACTCGGTATTTTCTTACTTAGCACCCGCATTGTCTAGTAATCGAATATTCTATAATTATCTTTATGATCTTGATCTTTCCTTACCTATGTTCCTACCGTTTCATAATCATTTACTATCGCTCAGTCCATTCCAAATATGTTCTATGAACACACTAATGATCTGACACTTAGTTAAAATACAACTCATTCTCCTAACCTTCATGAATACAAGTGTTTCCACACTTAGAAAAATACGCTCCTTGTAGAATTAATCCTCTTGTGATTTATTTTCTTCAAATTTGAAAATACTCCGGAAGCGAGTCGTTAAAATTCTCCCCACTTAAAATAAATCGGTCATCGAATTTAGCCTCAGCTAGCTGATGAACATCTAGTGACTCTGGAGAACCGCACATACCTTGTTTGCATATAACTTACCACTTTCTGAGCCTGGTTTTGGGTTTCTACCATCCCACATTTCTTTCGTCAATTTTCGTAGAGATTTTCTTCTTCCCCATTTTGATTCAACATGTTGCTAAATTTCAAAAACAAATTCTCTTCCAGTTTGAATTTTTAATCCATTAGAAAAAAATGATGCCATGTATCCTCTAGTTTATGAAAAGTGCACTCTACGTTCAATGCTTTTCAAAAAGGCCATCCAAAAAATCTGAACATAAACTTACATCCACTCTGACATGGTGTTAACAAAACTTAATGAAGTCTCACCATCTTGTTCTTTCCCAGCTAAGCAAACTTATTTGCAACATTCTCTTTTGAATGGAATTACTCAAGTAGACAACTATAATCCATACTGTCCCATAAGATTTGATATTCATAGGCAGTCCATTCACAAAAATCCATTGTGATTAAAGTCCACTTCCTCTCGGGCATTGGTAACTGGCAGCAACTCCTTGTTGCTTAATGATCTAATTTCATATGTTGTCATATCAGAATTTTATCCACCCATAGCAACTGCTTCAAATAATAATGCTCTGAGTCGCAGCATTTCAGCCATTACAATCAGTCATTTTGCTTCCTTCTCTACCAACACACTTGTCTTCATGCGACTAATCGCATTTGCTACTAGATTAACCTATTTGAATGGTTGTTATCTCCAAATTATAGTTCATAACTTTATACATTTATCTTATTTGACTTGGTTCATCTCTAGCTGATATTGTGGTCTCATCCTTTACTTCTTGTACTCCACCACGCTTCCATGCGCTACTCTTATTTCACGACACTTACTCGCAACATTCTCAATATCTCATTAAACTATTCTGCTTCTTCAACTGTTAAATCAAATAGGTGCTATCAAATTATTTTAAAGCTTGAAATACCATAGTCAAATCTTTCATGAGTCAATGCATAAGCATTCTTACATGGAAGGTACTATCACTTCCATACACATCCATCACACATTTGGAATCACATAACTTCTCTTGCATTACGTAACTCACCATACTTTACATCCTTTTCCGTCAACACTGTTAATAGATCAACAACTTGCAACACATTTTACAAATTTTCAATTCTTACCCTTTAATCCAACGGAGTTTCTGATCTTTACGGCATATTTTTTCACAGAAAATTGTAGTGGTCGTGACTTTTCTTCAACTCATACCACTCTTTCTTTGGACGTCAAGTAGCCTAAGAATCCAATGCACATGTTTTCCAAACTGCATTTTCTTAACTTCCATAAACTTCTTCCTTTTGTACCCCTTCAATTTACTTTTAAGTTTTGGTAACACCTCTCCTTGCTCAACTCTTCAATCCGCGATGGTTGTAAGATTACTTTACGCTCGTTCTTTACCATCTATTTTGTTCTTATTTGGGATGTTACTGAAATCTCTACATATTTCCTCATTCTTTGAAATATCAGCTTTTTTTCCCATTCAATCTAACTTTCCATTTTCTACAATCCTCGTAACTTTGGTAATTCGCAAATAAGTCTATTCTAAGAATTTCTATGTATTCCCACGCTTCCACCATTATTGAAACATCTTAATAAATGACACGCGACTTGAAAATCACCATTTATGCTGTACGGCCCAATCTGATCTCGTCTTCAAACTCATTCTTATGTGACAAATGTTGGACGATTTCCTCCCACACAAAGAATGTGACACCCAAAGTTAAATTTTTTTTGGAATTCACCACTACACCACTAAGACGCGGATTGACTCCATCTTTACATCCACCTTGTGTACCCATAGTACCACGTTATACTAACCATACACACGTCCTTGTTGCACTTTCATCGATCCATTAAGCTTCCGACAAGTGTGCTACACCACCACTGCACGGATATACAACACTTCATAATTCTACGAGGCATTAACTTTCTTCATTCTTGACATAAATTAACTTAGCATCTCTTACAGCTCTAGCTTGCCAGTTACTCAATCAGAAATCCATATCGACTATTGCTTCGTACTTTCTACCATCGCATCCACTCCTTCACTAAAACTGATATATCTTAATCCATTGCACACGACTTTAAGAATATTTGCTCAGGCTGACCGAACCAACCCGATACCATCTTTGCATACTTAATGAGAACTTCGAAAATGACATTTTTTATCTTCAACAAGACATAAGTTAGTTTTCACTAACTTCATGCAAACTCTCAAACACAATCCTGTTTATCCATTTACTAGGTAATCCAACCATAAACACATACTAAGATATACCTTAGACACATAACACCACATATCTTTAGTGCGAGACATAGACCATTGGTTCCTTTTCACCCTTACCCACAAATCCAATTTTCGAAAAACGGCCAGTCATGACAGTACTAACTTGCCTATCTTGCTCTGATACTAAATTAAAACACCCCCGAAAAAAATTTGAAAAACACGTTAAAAATTCTAAGTAAATATTTGACAAATTTTCAAAGGAAGAATACGAAGAAATACTACGACTTTGTTAATGAAATCTGAGACTAAATACTTAAAATTCACACTGTTACAATAAGAAAGTTTGATCAAATCTCTTAAAACCATAAGCCAAATTACAACACTCCTTACCGATGGTCTTTATAGTTTCGCACTCTAGTTCACACAATCAAACATTATTTGCATCACATAAAGAGGCATAAGCATACAAAAATACCCAGTGAGAATACTCAAAACCATCCACATGCAATCCGTAACATCTAGCAACCTAGCGTTTCATTCCATTTTAACAACCTAGCATCTCATTGTATTCTATCAACCTAGCATTCAATTTCACTCTAGCATTCTAACATTCCATTCTATTCTAGCAACTTAGCACTTCATTTTATTCTAGCATCCTAACATTCCATTCTATTTTAACATCCTAACATTCCATTTTATTATATTCTAGCAATCTAGCATTTCATTTTATTCTAGCATCCTAACAATTTGTTTTGTTCAAGCATCCTAACATTCCATTTCCTCCCTATATTGTTGATTTCCCATTTATCTTTACATACAGATTTTATGTATTTTCATTCCTTTATCCATTAGACTCATCTTCGACTCCGAAGGTCACTTACGGCCGAAAGCCAAACATCCTCGGTCCTAGCCATCATACTCCACCCATTAGTCACTCATACAGCCCGGAGCCAAAATGATCATATGATCCTTTACGGCATGAAGCCAAAACATTCAAATCATCTTTTATGTCCAAAAGCCAAACATACTTTACTTATTTCTTATCATTTTTTTAATCCTTACTTTCCTTAATTTTTTCATGTCTAAACTGATTTCTTATCATTTTTTCTTTAATATGCCATTCATTTTCAGATGAAATCCTAAGTTTTCACATAATCTTTCCCATTCATTTTTACTACCAGTTATACAATCTAACATGACATACCATAAGAACGCGGCAAACGTTTTTGGATCCCTGAAGATTACTTCGAAGAACGATGAACGAACTTTCGATAAATCACATCAGTCATTCATAAATTCTAGCATATCCAGATCTAATTCACTAATATCTATGCTATCAAGTTTCTACAAATCTCATCCTCACCTTGGCTGAATCTGTAGGATTCGAAGAATCTAAACTTCCTTACTTTTCTAGCGAAGAACTCTTTAGCTCTTCTCCTTCGATCCCTCTTCTTGAATTTCTCTCTCTTCCAGCTCGTTCATGCTCTAACTTCTCTCTAGATTTTTTTCTTGGTTGTGTCAATAAAAGAGCTCAAGGAGTCGTTATATAGGATTTCTCAAACTTTCTCACCAAGCTGGACACTTAATGCAATTTTCCTTATTTGGCTTGGTCAAAGATTACCATGAATGTCTTGAATTAATCTCTACGCTTCTTTTCTTATATGATTCCCGCAGATCTGATCTTCCTTTTGTATAATCCCGCAATGTTAACTACTCGGTCTTTTCTTACTTAGCATCCGCATTGTCTAGTAGTCGAACATTCTATAATTACCCTTATGGTCTTGATCTTTCCTTACTTATATGCTCCTACCGTTCCATAATCATTTAATGTCACTTAGCCCAGTCCTAATACGTTCCATGAACTCATTAATGATCTGGCACTTAGTCAAAATACAGCTCATTCTTCAAACCTTCATGAATACAAGTGTTTCCACACTTAGAAAAATACGCTCCTTGTACAAAAATTCTGATTAACAATTCCATTATTTCACTTTCCATCACTTTGATACTATGGCATCTGAAATGGTTGAAGGTAAAACACCATATCCTTTAGTTCATTATGTATTGAGTGATTGTTTATCACCTTCCCATCAAGTGTTTTTAGCAGCTGTTACAGCTGGTATTGACCCACAAAGTTATCCAGAAACCATAAAGCATAACGTGTGGAAGAATACTTGTTTGAGATTACCGTCCTGGAATATCAAAATACGTGGAGAATTCAGTCTCTTCCTTTAGGAAAAGTAGCAATCAGAAGTAAATAGGTTTTTAAAATCAAGTATAACTCTGATGATTCCGTGAGAAGACATAAAGCTTGTCTTGTTTCTTTTGGAAACAAATAAGTTGAAGGAGGGGATTTTGATGAAACATTCTCTCATGTGATGAAGACTGTGGCAGCTAAAAAGGTGGGTCTACAATGATTTCCTTCATGCTGATTTAAAAGACGAAGATGACTGGGTCATTTATGGTAATGATTATTTAGCTATGACTAAGTTTAAAGAGTACCTAAATAAGTGTTTTCAAGACTTAGGCAAGTTAAAATATTTCTGGCAATTAAAGTTTTAAGGTCTTAGAAAAGTTTTTCTCTCTCATAGATAAAGTGTGCACTCGATGTAATCGATGAAATTGGCATAATATTTGGAAATTATTCTCAATATTAATATTTAGTTTATTATTAATAGGAAAATTACTTTTATTGTTTTAGAATTCTATGGTTTTCTTATATATAGCCGATTAGATTTAAGTTTGTATTCAGTTGATGATTTGATTAATAAAATTGAGAGTTTTCTTTTTGTTCCTTATTTTCGGTAGATCTATAGAGATCTCAACAAATTTAAGACGATTAGGTTTATTCGAGGATTCAATGACTAAACAAATAACCTTAGAATCAATTGATCACTAATTTTATTCTAAAAGCTTCAGTTACATCACCCATGGCTACTCCTCTCAATCAAAATCACAAACTTGCTTCAGATGATGGGCACATCATTGAGGATTCAAGTCACTATAGGCGGTTGGTTGGTAGACTAGTTTATCTCTTACATACGCATCCTGAACTGAGTTAATTAGTTCACTTGCTCTCCCAGTTTATAAGAAATTTCAAGCCTTGCTCAATGGGAATTCTGTTTTACACGTTATTCGCTACCTCAAAATCTCGCGTGGACAGAATACTGCTGCGGTAATATTCACTGTGACGCTGAATGGGCTGCTTGCTCTCTCTCTCTAGGAGGTCTCTCAGTGCCCACATTGAATTTTTTTTGTGATTACCTATCACATGGACAATTAAGAATTATGATACAAAATATCACTCTTCCGCTGGAGCCCCGAGTATCATTCCATGGTTTATCCTACTCGTGAAATCAAATGGATAAATTGTTTCCTTGTCGACGGCAGGACCGGCCCTTAGGCCAAGCTATAGAAGCAGCTGCTTCCGGCCGAATTTTATATCAACAATATCCGGCCATAACATTAGTAAAGTAGTGTCGTAGTGTCGACAGGGGTATCTATCATTCACCTCATGTACGTTTTTTGTGATAGTCAAATCGCTTTACACATATAGCACGCAATCCCATTTTTTATGAACGCACAAAACGTATCCTGAAAGATTTTCATATAGTTCAGGATGCCATGCAGGATGGTTCGTAAAACTGAGCAGTTGGCCAAAATTCTTACTAAGGCACTGTGCAGTTTGAGAAGTTACTGTCTAAATTGGGTGTTCTCAATCTCCACACAAAGAATTATTAGGAAAGAAATATGAATATTAGAGATATGTATAGGAAACATATAGAAGTCCTAACCTATAGATTATATTCTGTGTGTTCTTATCTTTGTTCAAGTAGTCTTTAAATATACTTGTAGTCACGTTAATGTAAACACACAATTCAAATCTTTCTCTTTAATATTTCCATAAAAAAATAATTATATTGGTAGATTGAAATTAACATAGTGGAATTTTTCTCAGGTTGGGAGGTTTATACAGTTGCTTTCAACATTCGTGTGTGGATATGCTATAGCGTTTATGAAAGGATGGTTACTTACACTTGTTATGTTAACTTCAATTCCACTTGTAGCTACGGCTGGTGCAGCTATGTCAATTCTTTTTACTAAGGCTTCTTCTCAACAACAAGTTGCTTATGCGGAAGCATCAACTATTGTTGAACAAACTTTCGGGTCTATTCGAACCGTAAAATACTTCATTTCGTTCCTTTGTTTGTTTACTTATCATAAATATAAAAAAAGTGTGGAACATAAGTTATGTGCAATTTTCTAGGTTGCTTCTTTTACGGGAGAGAAGCAAGCCACGAGTAGCTACCAAGAGTTAATAAATTCAGCCTATAAATCGAGTGTTAAGCAAGGTTTCACCACAGGTGTAGGTTATGGAGTAATGTCCTTGGTGTTCTTTTGTAGCTATGGTTTGGCTGTATGGTTTGGTGGAGAGATGATACTCAGAAAAGGGTATACAGGTGGTGCAGTGATCAATGTAATGATCATTGTGGTCACGAGTTCGATGTGAGTAAACCACCTTCTCTTTGGAATCTCAACACAGTTTAAACAGTTTTGAATTAATTATTTTTTTTCTTTGAATAGGTCTTTAGGGCAAGTAGCACCATGCCTAACCTCATTTGCAGCTGGTAAAGCGGCAGCTTATAAAATGTTTGAAACTATAAAAAGAAAGCCGTTGATTGATGCTTTTGACCTAAACGGGAAGGTTTTAAAAGATATTCAAGGCCAAATAGAGCTGAGAGATGTGTGTTTTAGTTACCCTGCAAGGCCTAGAGAAGAGGTATTTGGTGGATTCTCTCTGATGATACCTAGTGGCACAACCGCTGCTTTGGTGGGCGAAAGTGGGAGTGGGAAATCTACTGTGATCAGTTTGATAGAAAGGTTCTATGATCCGTGCTCTGGCCAAGTGCTTATTGATGGTTTTGACTTGAAGGAGTTTCAGCTGAAATGGATTAGGGGAAAGATTGGATTGGTTAGTCAAGAACCGGTTCTGTTTTCTTCAAGCATAATGGAGAATATTGGGTACGGTAAAGAGAGAGCCACGGTCCAAGAGATTGAAGCAGCGGCGAAGCTAGCAAACGCGGCTAAGTTTATCAATAAGCTGCCAAGGGGTTTAGATACAATGGTAGGTGAACATGGAACGCATTTCTCAGGAGGACAGAAACAGCGGATTGCAATCGCAAGGGCTATACTTAAAGATCCGAGGATCTTGCTGTTAGATGAAGCGACAAGCGCTCTTGATGCAGAATCCGAACGAGTGGTTCAGGAGGCTTTAGATAGGGTGATGGTTAACCGGACTACTGTGATTGTCGCACATCGGTTAAGCACTGTGAGAAATGCTAATATGATTGCTGTGCTTCACCGTGGAATGATAGTTGAAGAAGGTACATGATACTCATTATGGCATTAGGATTTTATATTCTTTCGAGTTACAAAAATGTTTAGTATTTTAATTGCTTTTTTTTTTTTACTTTTCTTCTTAATAATTTATTTTTTAATAAAAAGAAATTTACATTCTTTTGAGTTACAAATATTTTTTTTTACTAATTTACATTTCATTACCATTTTAGGTTCACATTCGGAGTTACTCAAGGATCATGAAGGGGCTTATTCGCAACTTATACGTTTACAAGAGGTAAACACAGAATCAAAAGGAATGGAGATTTCAGATGGATTGCAAGAGGGATCACCAAGAGGAAACAGTAGAGGAAGTAGGCATGATGATGATGAATCTGTTACCGTTCCTGGTTTACTTGCAAGCCAAGAAAACACAGAAACGCCTATAGAGCTGTCTCAAGATGTGTCCATTACTCGAATCGCTGCTCTAAACAAACCGGAGGCTCCGACTCTCATACTTGGAACATTAGTGTGTGCAGTTGACGGCGTTATACCCCCGATTTTCGGACTCCTCTTTGCTAAAGTTATCATAGCTTTCTTCAAACCGCCTAATGAGCTGAGGAGCGATTCAAGATTCTGGTCGATGATATTTGTGCTTCTTGGTGTAGTTTCTTTGATAGTGTATCCAATGCATATGTACTTGTTTGCGGTAGCTGGAGGGAAACTGATTCGGAGGATAAGATCAATGTGTTTTGAGAAAGTTGTTCACATGGAGTTTGGGTGGTTTGATGAGCCAGAGAACTCAAGTGGTGCCATGGGAACTAGGCTCTCTGCTGATGCAGCCTTGATCAGGAATCTTGTGGGGGACTCTTTGGCTCTAACTGTCAAGAACATTGCATCCGCAGTGGCGGGAATAATCATAGCTTTCGTAACTAGCTGGGAATTATCGGTTATTATATTAGTAATGATTCCTTTAACTGGAATCAATAATTTCGTTCAAGTTAAGCTCATGAAAGACTTCAGTGCGGACGCAAAGGTTGGTCGTTTTCATTAAAATGACTTTTTTAGGGTTAGTTACTTATTTAACAAGAAACTGAAAGAAATTTTGTTTGCAGACAAATTACGAGGAGGCGAGTCAAGTTGCGAGCGATGCGGTTGGGAGTATAAGAACGGTTGCGTCTTTCTGCGCGGAGGAGAAAGTGGTGCAGATGTATAAGAAACGATGTGAAGTTTCGATCAAATCTGGGATGAAGCAAGGACTAGTTGCCGCCTTAGGGTTTGGTCTCTCTTTTTTCCTTCGCTACTCAGTCTACGCTGCTTGTTTCTACGCTGGTGCTAGATTGGTTAAACACGGAAAGACAACCTTCAACGATGTTTTTCAGGTAATGAGTTTTGAAACAAAAAATAACTATGTGTTTTGCCTCCGCATATGCCTGCTTAATTATTTACAAATCAATTTTTTAAAATAGCATTAAACTTATGATTATCGGCATCTAAAAAATTCAACAAAAAAATATATTAAACTTTTTTTACATGATAAAACTTTTTACAAATAAAAAATTCTATTATTCTTTTAAAACTTTGAAAAATTTAAATTCTATTTCATTTCTTTTTATCAATAGAAAAATATAAAATTTTATCTTTCATTTGAAAAAAAAATAATCAATAAATATCCACTCAAATTTGATCTTACAGAAAATATATTTTGGATAATTATAAGATATATTTGATTTTTTTTTCAAACGCGTTTTTTTTCTTTTTTGATGGATGATCTTAATTTTTTATTATAATTAATTTATCTTTAATGGTTGACTATATAAACTACAAAAATATATTTGATTTAACGTGAGAGCTTAGTGGCGAAAAATCACATTGCAAATATATATCATTATTTATATTATTATAATTTCTAATTTTAAAATTATTACGTATTATAAATTTCTCAATATTATCTTTTTAATTATATAAATTAAAAACTTTACTTGATTAATTTTTTTTGTCATCAACTTAAACATACATTTGATTATTATTTAGATATGTTTTTCTGTTTTTAAACTGTAGTTTTCTTATTAATATATATATATATAACTTATATATTTATTTTAAAATATTTTTTTAGGTTATGGATAATATTACTTATTATTAATTTTGAATAACTTGTCTAGTTAAATAAATATTAAATTTGTTTTTTATTTTTTTGTCTAATTTATATATCTATACTATTAAAAGAGAAGTAATTTAAATAAATCTACCTGTGAAAGTTGTTTGGACCCTTTCATTAGACTAACATTTTTTGGTATTTCCTAATATTTCTCCAACAATACTGTTCAATAATATTATATCATATAATTTACCTTATATTTCTCTATCAATACATTAGTCAATATTCTTATTTATTATACATTACTCTTATTATTCTATATTCTTATTTCTTCACAATACGTTACTATAACCTTATAATATATTATTCTTTTGTAAACATGTCTCATTAATTGTATAATACGTGACTGATTTCACCAATTATACAAAAACTATATCATTTGTTTGAGTCACCAACTATGCAACCGTACACTCCATCATTTCCATTGATTAGTTTTCATAGATGGTGTTTTGGACATTCGCATTCACGACAAATATGTTTAAAACCAAAATTTAATTATTTTTAGAGTAAACCTATTTATAACATAGTATATGGTGATAATACACAAATCGGTTTATTATATTTTAATGTTTGAAGATATTTATACAAACAAGTTATAAAATTAATGTTTTTTTATTCTAGAGAAAATATTTTAAGCCTTTTGTTTATAAAGATATCTAGATTTGTGAAAGATCGTAACTTATACTTTCAATATTTTTGTGAATGATCTAAATTCTATGTATATCCACTGTGGTAGTTTCTAATTTTCAAGTATATAGCAGGTCTATGTAGGTTTAGATATTTAGGACCAGAAGTACCAATAAACCTAAAAAATATTTGAATCTCAAAAAATACTTCAAACCACAAATAAATACTCAAAATATATTCAAATATGAAAATCTTGAATTTCACCTAACCTGACTCGGAAAACAAAAAATACCCCAAATATATATATTCTGTGGAAATTTTACCTGAAACCTAAAATTGTAAGTGAAACTTAAAAGAATATAAATAATACCAAAAACATATATGAAATATTCAGACATATCTAATATGAAAAGTAAACAAATTGAGTACTTTTATTTATCCGATCAGGTCTCGGGTATGATCCAGACTACAATCGATTCCTGCCGGTTTTTAAAAATAGACAGTAGGTATTTTTTTTCATGGATTCCAACCAAACCTATATTGTCGGGTCGGTTACGGTCGTGTTTTTTGATCCGGGTAAAATGTCAAAACCTAGAGAAAGTTACATTAAAAATATACATACAAAATCTCAAATAAATTAATTTATAAATTATATAATTTTTCAAAAAAATCTATTTCGATATAATACGATTAACATAAAAATGTACATCAATTCCAAAATACTAATTCATATCAAAATTTATTTGTAGTCTAACAAAAACCCGTGCTTTTTAAGTGTGGATCAAAATCTATATTTATTCATTAAGGTATAAGCCATATTAACCTCTCTCTCTAATTTTTGATGTGAGAGTTTGGATGCTCGCAAATAATTGTAAAGATAAAAGATTAATATTTTTGTTATTAATTTGGAGACCGAATGAAATGATCCATACATAGTTAACATATTAACTACTAAAATCTTGGGGATCCGGCGTGTTTGCAAATCTTAGTAATAAATCTTGAGGAGAAGATACTTAATGATCTCTGATTTGATTTGTTTGCAAAGGTGTTCTTAGCGTTGACGATGACAACCATTGGGATCTCCGCAGCGAGTTCTTTGGCTCCTGATTCAAGTAAAGCTAGGAGTGCTGCTGCTTCGATTTTTGGGATTATTGATAGAAAATCGAAGGTAGACTCGAGAGATGAATCGGGGATGGTGTTGGAGAACGTAAAGGGAGATATCGAGTTTTGTCACATAAGCTTTGCTTACCAAACTAGACCTGACATTCAGATTTTTCGTGATCTTTGTTTCTCCATTCGTGCCGGAAAGGTAACATTTTGTATTACAAAGTATAGAACTTATATACAGATTCTTCTTCAAAAGTTTGCATGTCCATGAACACCTTTTTCTATATCTTGTGCTTATTTCAGACTGTTGCTTTGGTCGGAGAAAGTGGATCGGGTAAATCTACGGTGATATCGCTATTACAAAGGTTTTATGATCCGGACTCGGGTCATATCACTCTAGATGGAGTTGAGCTCAAGAAGCTGCAACTGAAATGGCTAAGACAACAAATGGGGCTTGTAGGGCAAGAGCCTGTACTGTTCAACGACACAATACGAGCCAATATTTCTTATGGAAAAGGTGGGGAAGAAGCAACCGAGGCTGAGATCGTAGCTGCCTCCGAGCTCGCTAATGCCCATAAATTCATCTCTAGTATACGACAGGTAATTCAAACATATGACCTTGTGATAGTTGTGTAGAGGTTACTTTCGGTGCAAGTAACAAACTCTTTCCTGATTTGGTTTTAGGGTTATGATACGGTGGTGGGAGAGAGGGGGATTCAGTTGTCAGGAGGACAAAAGCAGCGCGTGGCAATTGCACGTGCTATCGTGAAAGAACCGAAGATCTTGTTACTAGACGAAGCGACGAGCGCGTTGGACGCAGAGTCAGAGCGCGTGGTTCAGGACGCACTTGACAGAGTGATGGTGAACCGGACCACCATCGTGGTGGCTCACAGGCTTTCGACCATCAAGAATGCTGACGTCATTGCCGTAGTGAAGAAGGGTGTGATCGTGGAGAAAGGAACGCACGAGACGTTGATGAATGTGGAAGGTGGTGTTTATGCTTGCCTCGTTGAACTTCACATGAGTGCTTTCTAATTGACACAATCACACAAAAAACGCATGTTCTCATAACAAACAAACAATACTTTTGTTGGGTTGAACAGGTGGAACTAACCATTACACCATAATCAATGTTATGTTGGCGATGCAATTCACAATTCTCTTCTCAGATGTGTAAGTAAAGTCCCATATCTGTGTGTGGTCAAAAATAGTATAACTTAATTTTACAGACTAGTAATTCAAAATGTATTGGCGTCCGTTTCTCAGCCCTTAGCCCAGTAAGCCCACATCTGTATATAGAGTAAATCGTTCAAAACCTATAGAACAAACCAATTTTTGACCTATCAATTTTGAACCATCTGTTTGAGGTTGTAACAATTAGCATGACGTTTTACCCTTTCTACATTGCACAAAAGCCATTACTTTAGGTTCAGCCTAGTTCAGTTACATTCCATCATAAGTTCGGAGACAAAATGCAAAACCAATAAATGCTATAATTTACTTCTGAGCAAAGATATTTTATACTCTCTACCAACTATAGTTACAACACATCATAAACTGATTTGGTGAGAACTTGATGAGAACTTGTGAAAAGTGATTTGGTGAAATACAAAACCACTTTCTTCAAGGCAACTTTTCATTATTGTACACTGATTTACAGAAACTCAAACAACTACAAAGATGAAAAAAATACATAACAACTTCACAAAAAAGAAAAATATTCACAAAGAAAACTCAAAATCAAAGCACAAAGCGAAATGTATTGATTTCGACGTTTTCCTACTCCACCAGATCTAACAAGATCCCCAACAGCTCAGAAACATAACCGTCCTCAGAGACTCCTCCGCCTGCCTCACCCTCTCGCTCGCCGCCACACCAAATCTGCTCGATTCCAGATCCCCTCTGAGCCTCCGCACAGATGAAGACGGCGATGCGATTGAACTCTGCGGCGACGCAGAATCTTTAACAGCAGATCGGAAAGTCGTGGTATCGCCGCCGCTACTTCCGGTAACACACTTGTCCTTCATCAACTTACCGGAAAACTGACTAATCACTCTATTCATCTACCACAGATTCACTATTATTAAAAAAATCTGACCCTTCGAAGATTTTTTTCAGCTATTATTTGGCTTTTCAGATTATGAAGAGAAGCGTTTTCTTTTTCTTCTTTGTAAGTGGGAGAGATACTTTCTTTATATAGAGAATACAGTGGAGTGAGACTGTCAGAGGATTTGGGAGAAACAACCGGCTAAGATGGTAAAACCGGGTGCTTGACTAATCATCGAACTGCTACTGTATAAGTGACCGACACGTGGGGGTTGAAGGAAGGTTCGCGACTTGTTGGTGGGGATATGATCGATGAGAAATGGATATTTTATTTCTTTCTCCCTTTTGTTTAAATCGTTTTGGTTTTTAAAATGAAAGTTAATATCTGCGTCGCTTTCATCTGGATAACTATGGAGTAATGATAATACGATGTTTTAGTTTGTCGTTAGACATAATTGCCATGTAGATAACGTATTTTGTAGAGAAGCTCTATAATAGAATTGAGATATACTCCAACTTATTTAGAGTTCTTTATTTTTTTTTTATAACAGTTCTGTTTAAAAAAGTTAAAGATCATTAAAAAAGGAAAAAACAAGAGCGATAAGATGAGATTTTGAACTGGACATTGATTTTGCAACATCTCCAACGACCCTGATTTTGCAATCAAAATGTCCAGACAAAAGTAGAAGGAACCTCACCGAATCCCATTACTGTTAAGTCTGTAAAGTGAGTAACTGATGTAGTCGCATCTGAGCATTTCGGGTGATGTACGACTGGTGTCACAGATCACGAGTGACATTTAAGGTAATTACCGCTGCAGCTTCATTAGGAAGAGCGTGATCCAAACTACATGAATCTATCCTTGCCAGAAGAAAAGAGATATTGTGGCGGATATGACTGAGGCTATGGTGTTTATCAGGCTTTGTGAGGATGTCATGTAGGCTCTTCGAGGATGTCTCAAAAATAATATTTGAAAAATGTAAATTATGTAAATATTCAACGCCCAGAAAAGAGCCCACAAGTTAGCCTCTATTTTTGTGCGCATACATGAATAGGCTTGATAGCTGTGCATGATTGTACATCCATTTTCATCATGTAAAAACCATGAAACATCACTAAGATGATTTGACTTTACCCATGAGGATCCAACATTACATTTGAAAAAACCATTGGGCGGCTTCTTCCATCGAACCATTTCCGTATTTTCTTCTCCCATTCCATCCTTCGTTTCCGTGAATGTATCAAACCATGTAGATTCTTTTTCATAGGTTTTTTTAGTAATAACTGAAGACTCAATGACCTTGGTTTCAAAAACAAAAGCGTTTCTAGCTTTCCAAATTTCCCACACCAACCATGTAAAAACTTTTCTTTTATGTATATCCGTAGATGAGCTCTTAGCAATCTTGATCATGTGCACAAAATTTAAAAAGGTGGAATTCCGAGATAACCCTCCTAAGGGTATTGGGAAGTTAGATTTCTCCCATGTGACACGTGCTTTTACACATGTAAAAAGAACATGACATATACTTTCAGCACCATTACCACAAACAAAGCATGTTGGGTCTATCGGGATACCCCGAGTAGTCAAACGTTGCTTAACCGCTAACGCACCTGATAGAGCACGCTACATAAAATGTTTTATTTTTGGTGGAGCTTTGGTATTCCACAAATCTCTCCACAATTGTTTTTCAATAGGAGTGAGAGAGTGTCCTTGAGGATAATCAAAGTCCACCAAAACCTCTAACAATTTATACCCACTCCGGGTCGAATATAATCCACTTGGTGTGAAACCCCATCTGATCGCATCTGCAAATACCAGTGATGGTTTCAAAAGTAATATCCTTTGATCATCATGTGGCATAAAAGTCTGATGTAGCAGATCGATATCCCATTGATTCGACCCCTGCATGAGTAAGTCTGAAACTTTTAGCGCTAAATTTATGGAGTTATTCTCACGGTACATTGGAGGCCGAGGAATGGTGTCTATAATCCATTTTTCAGTCCAAACATTAGTTACAGCCCCATTGCCAATATGTCGATACAATCCCTTTTTGAGTAACTCTCTACCATGCATGATACTCCTCCATGCATACGATGGACGTGTCCCCATTCCACAATCAAAAAAATTTCCATCTTTAAAATATTTGCCTTTAAGAATTCGAGAAACCAAAGAATCAAGATTATTCCAAATTCTCCAAGCTTGTTTCCCGAGCAAAGCCTGATTGAAACGATCAATGTCATGAAACCCAAGATCCCCCTGTTCTTTGGGTTTACACAACCTTTCCCAAGAAACTCATGGGATCTTCCTCTTTTTATCCCCACTACTCCACCAAAACTCTATAATCGCACTGGTAATTCGTTCACAAAGACCTTTTGGTAACCTAAAAACTGACATTGCATATATTGGGAGCGCTAAAGCAACCAATTTTATTAAAACTTCCATGGCCCCCATCGACAAAGTTTTAGAATACCACCCTTGTAATCGTCCTTCTAATTTTTCTTTGATAAAATTTAAAACATCTTTTTTTGAACCTTGAAAACACTTAGGGAGGCCAAGATATGAACCTTCTCCACCTTCTTTTTCTATAACCAAAACCCCTTTTATAGTCTGTTTGGTCTTATCGGCTTTTTTTTTCCAAAACTAATGGAAGACTTCAAAGGGTTAATCATTTACCCAGACGCATTCCCATATAGTTTCAGATCTTTCGAAATTTCTTCACTATCCCTAACAGAGAATTCACACAACAACAAGCTATCATCAGCGAATAGCAAATGGTGAATAGAAGGACTGCCCATAGCTAACTTTATACCATGTAATTTCCTTAGTGCTTCAGCTCTGTTTAAGGCATGAACTAAAGCTTCGGCACATAAAATGAAAAGAAAAGGGGATAAAGGATCACCATGACGTATTCCTCTTTCCGGTTTAATAAACCCATGAGAGCGTCTATTAAGTAACACCGAGAACATGACAATAGTAATGCATGACATTATCCCAACGACCTATTTACGATCAAATCCCATTTGTTCTAGTAAGACTTCCAGGCAGTTCCATTCTACTCGATCGTAGGCTTTGGACATATCTGTCTTAATAGTCATACATTCTTTACCAATTTTATCATTAGTTCGCAACGCATGTACCAGTTCATGCGCTATAATGACATTGTCTCTAATTAATCTGCCTCCAACAAAAGCCCCTTGAGTCTCTGATATTATCTTAGGCATAACCACCTTCATACGATCACATAGAATACGAGAAATGATTTTGTATCGTACACTGCCAATATTAATGGGACGCATATTCTTCATCTCCGTAGGATGTAGAATTTTTGTTAACAAAGATATTTGTATATGGTTCCACAATGTGCCAATATTTTTCTGCCCCACAATGTGTCAATATTTTTGGTAGAAAAAAATCAGTAAGTCCGTCTTCTCCAGGGGCACTACTACTTTTAATACCAAACTCTGCTTTCTTGATTTCGTCAGGAGAAACCTCTCTGATTAGCATTGTGTTCATATCTGAGGTAACCCTGCTCTCAAAACCCTCAAACAAAATTTTCAAATCACTTGGATTTGAGCTTGTAAACAGCTCTCTAAAATATTCAGTAGCAATATGTTCTTTAGACCCTTCAGAGTAATGTTCATTTCCAAAAAATCTTTTAGCATTAGAATTTTATTTCTCATTTTCTTCTCCTTGACCACATTATGAAAGTAATTTATATTTCGGTCCCCTTCCCGTAGCCATTCCTCTCTACTTTCTTGCTTCCAAAAATCTCCTCTTCCCTATAGGCCGTAGCCAAGTCATGTCTTAATCTCCTCAGCAAACCATAAATGGGGAATTGTTTTGAGCTCTCTTTGTCCAAATCAATCTGCAACTATTCTATTCTTGTTTCTGAATTCCAGTCATTAGTCTTTTTAAGCTTGGACAATTCCGACCGACATCGAGCAATACGATCAAGAACACTTAGATTTGAGTTCACGTTCTCTACGTCCCATCCACGAACAATGGTTTCATCTACCCCTTTCTTACCATACATACGCTTATCAAAATAAAACCCTCCCCTTTGCAAAATTCTCAGGCTTAAGGGCGAACTCTATACGTAAGGGTCGATGATCAGAAGGCCACATACTCATATAGTCAGTAGACGATTGAGGAAATAGGTGAAACCATTCATCATCACCAAAACTTCTATCTAGCCGACAATGTACCCAGTTATGATCCCGTCTGCATGTCCATGAAAGGGTATTCCCCGTGGATCTCATCTCCCTAATTTTACATGCTTCAACCATGTTCCGAAAATCAAAAAATATGGTTTCATCTCTAATAGCACCTCCCAATTTTTCACCATTATTCATTAGCTCATTAAAACCACCCACCAAAGTCTATGCTTCATCTCTAGCCACACCAATGTCCGTTAATTTATCCCAAACATAACGTATTCTTCCTCTTACTGGATCCCCTTATACACAGAAAAGTAAAAAGATAAGGGACCCCATTGTCACTTTGAGATCAATAATTCTATTATCACTATATAAAATTTCAACTGCGTAACAACCTTTCCACATTAAAGTTAAACCACCACTACGACCAATGGGTTCCACCGTGTGTAAACAATCATACCCCAAGCTTGATTTTAAAACATGCATATAAGCAATCTTTTACTTAGTCTCTGATGGAGATAGATATTTGGAATATATCCAAATATCTTAATTATTTAGTTTATCAGTTATTTTTATATTTATCTTAATTATTTAGAATATCTTAAGATTTTAATAGTTTTCCTATTTCGATTAAGATTAGGGTTTTATGGCTTTTGTGTTTTCATATAAATAGGCTTCTACTCCCAGAGTTGTATTCAACAGTTTTTATGATGATTTGATAAATAAAAGTTTGTTCCTAAAGAGGTTTCTATAAACCACTGAGAAGAGTATTCTCAAACCCTAAGAGCTTTTAATTAAGCACCGTGAAGAGTATTCACAAATCCTAGTTTCCGGTATTCATAGAATCAACGGATCTAGTTATATCCCTAGAAGCTTCCGCTACATCAGTCTCCATAAGAAATACAAAGTCCGAAAAATATTGATGTCGTAAATCCCGAATACGTTGAACTGTATCTGAACT